ACTCAAATTTGATATAAAATATGAGTTGTTAAGAATATTAAGTCCACTAATACTTACTTTTAGAGTGAGTAGATTTAATTTTTATTGTTTTTAAAAATTTATTAATTTAACAGTTAAATTATTAAAATTTAATATAAAGTATAAGATATGAAGTGAAATAAGTCTATCTAAAATGTATATATATATATATATATATTTATTTATTATGTCTTTAATCATACCGTATAAATTCCCCGTGCAAGCGTTCCTGGTAGTAATAATGTAATTGCAATGATTCGTTGAATTACATAATCGAAGTTTAAACTTGAAGAGAAATTTTGCATTTGCTTCTAATCACAGTCAAATCAAAAAGTCACTACCAAAAAAAAAAGGACAGTTAAAAGTAATTTGTTCTTAGAGTATATGTAACGGGGATGTATTACATCAATGCTATATCAAACACATTTTATGAATTGTTTAAATTTTAGCAAAATTCCTTCTATAAGTAATTTTGCTAAAATTTAAACAATTCATAAAGTAAACTAGAGCTAATGTGGCAGTGATGTGATATATAGGAGTTACTTATAAGTAAGTCCGGATACAGATTATTATGTGCGTCGTGACTGCATAAACTCTGTAGCCTTTATTAAAAAATTATCCATTCATCTTAGTTTTCATCTGCCAATTTGCACCGCCAAAATGGATTTTAAGTTTTGTACACAAAGACACCAAGCTGAAACAACCAAAGTTGACATATAAAAATAGAAAAATTATATATCACGCAATCTAATATCCTAGATTTCCATGCATTCTCATGATGTTTGCCCTGATTTGATGAATATATTGTACCAGAATTCCATTTCTTCACTGAGCTGACAAGAATCATGATTTCCCATAAAAGTATTTGATGAGACTGCACCGTAAAATCCTGTACCGACAAAAGGTGGATTCTTCCTTGAGGCTAAACCGTAATTGGCAATCATCATATTTCCAGTGACACTAGAAGAAGTACTTGATGCATCTTGTGCCTCTTGCAAGATCATATGTGAGGAAGCATAAGCATTTCCATTGTGCAGTACTCCACTTTTCTCGATCCTCTTCTTCAAATGGGTATGCCAAAAATTCTTTATTTCGTTGTCTGTTCTTCCGGGTAAGCTTGCCGCTATAGCAGACCATCTAAGCATGCACCAAGATTCACAATGAAATTAATTAATTTTCATCTTTTATTACTTACTTGACCAAATTCAATCACATTCTATAACATACCACATATGTTACATACTTACATAATATCTCTTGATTATTGAAATCTTTATATTAGGAAATTAAATGATATGACATCTTTTAAACTCAATTCATAGATATGCTTAAAACTCATGCACGTAGAAATAGAGGTAGTAGAAGACAGTATAGTGAATATGTTAGACACGAACCTATTTCCAAGAATTTGATGTAGCTTTAGGATGGTATCTTCTTCTTCCTTGCTGAATTTCCCTCGTTTAATATCTGGCCTCAAGTAATTTATCCAACGAAGCCTACAACTCTTGCCACACCTTAACAAGCCTAAACAATCATATCATAAGTCATATATATATATATATATATATATATATATATAATCATGTATATATATACATGTTCATGAAGTCTTAGAAAATGTTGTGTAATCGCTCACCAGCTTGTTTAGGAAGCGCACGCCAGTTTCCATGGCCATAACGTTGAATATGGGAAACCAATATGTGATCTTCTTCAGCAGTCCAAGGTCCCTTCTTCAATCCCATCCTCTCACAACATGGAGTCCTCATGCTCACTTATGCACTCTACAACAATAATGCGTTTCCTTTTCAATGTACTACAATAACTTTGTAGCTCTTTCAAGGTAGCTTCGGCAATCTCCTTTATTAATTACCAAACTAGTACTAGGGAAAATATACATGTGGTCCAAATAAACAGCATGGCTTTGATTCAAAACAAAAGTACATGATAGTGATCACAGATTCGTAATAATCTAATCTAGAGAGAGAGAGAGACCACTTGTCAGAAAGTAGCATTGCTTTGTAGACTCCAACTGAGTTTCCAGGTTGCTTCTCTTTAAAACTTGTAAAGAGTAAAAGTAATGATTGTTTGGGTAGAGAGGTCAAAAGTAGTATGTGGCATGCACAAAATGGACTTATTCATCATGTCTTACTACTGTTCCTGCCGCCTTCCATTGTCCCCGTGAAGTGCTAGTTACCATGTTCAACCTTTTATGCTTTTCTACCTATTTGGATTCTTCCACCAGCAGATATATCATATATGCATGGTGCAATGGAAGATATCAAGTAGAAAAATTAACACATGAGATTTGTGGGTCTCACAAAATTTAGGCATGCATATCTCTTTTTCTTTTCTTGTTATTATCGATGTAAAATGTCTATCCACTTTATCTATGCACAATCTTTGTTGAAGTTACTTTTAATAGCATCTTCCTTTTTAATCATGTTTTTTTTTTCTTTTTATAAAACTTATTTAAAATTTACTTGAGAGAGTCTAACTTAATTTCACTTGAAACAACTCTATGCCAGTTATATATTTAATTTATTTGGATATTATAGGTTGAAATTTAGTTACTATTCTCACACACTGATATCTCCCCTGATGATTATACGCTTCTAATTAATAACTTTAAAGCTTGCTGTACTACGAAGTAAAAGGAAGGAATAAGGACATAAATGTCAAGGTTTTGAATCCATGTAATGCACTTTATCCTTTTTTTTTTTTCTTTTTTCCCTTCTATTCATTTCCTTTCTTCTCTTCTGGCTTTGTCAGGCATCCTATGAACATCTACGAAGATATCTCGCCAGTGGTCCCTCTTTAAAAATTAGGTAAGTATAGTTTTTTCAAGAAAAAGTTTTTAAAAAAATAATGATTTCTAAAATGAAGGTATAAAGATTAGTCACATATAAATCAATGGTATGTGTAAATTAAATTAGAAGAAGTAATCATCAATAATTAATTTATAGGTATGAACAAATTAAAATATATAAGTAAGAAGTAATTATCATTTTATAAGTTAGTTGGTTGAAATTGATTCAAGATCAAATTAATATTTTTTAGATAATATCAAAGTTTATCATAATTTTTGTTTTTATCAATTTGACCATTATCATGTCATTATTAGATCACTTACAAATATTTAATTATATAAATTTTATGTTTAAGATATCACATTCTTGAAATAAGAATCAATTAAGAGATATGTTAAAAATCTTATATTATTTAGTGATATAACTAAATTAAAGTACATAAATAAAAGAATCTTAATTTATCTTAAAAATTAGTTTTATAAGATTAAGTTAATTTAAAACTACCTTTTAAGAGCATCATTCTTCGTTATTTAATATATATTTTTAAAATTTTCAAAATATCACTTGTTAATTTTATACTTTAAGGTTTCTTTTTTGGATTTAATAATCATATACAGGCGGTGATAATATAAAATAAAAAAAGATTATAGTCAATTAATCAAAAATCATGATTTGTATGATTTTTAAGATAATATTAAAAAGGTTAACAAACTATCATTAATAATAGATTGTAATTAAATAGCAGTATAAAACTTATTTACACTAATAGTGCATCACTATTAAACTTTGTTTTTTAAGTTTTGAATTTAATTTTTTAAAATTAAATTAGTTATATTTATTAGTTATAAAATTAATTTTTAATTTGCATGCATGCATAGTTTGTATATTAGTTATATTTATTTACCCTTTTTCACTAAATATTATATATTATATTTATATTTATAAAATTCAACTTAGAATGATTATTTATTTGTTTTTTATATAAATTAGATTTAATTTATATTATCTTATATATTAATTATTTTATATTAAAATATCATTAATTAAATGTATTTTGTTAATTTACATTAATTAAATGTATTTCCTATGACATCCTATGCATTATTCTAGTGAGGTTTAAGAGTGTGTCGGCATGGCATAGCATGTCAAACTAATGAAAAGAAAAGAAAGTGGTTTTATTAGCGATGGCAAAGACAATGCTGCCTGGAATAATAAATAGCAAGATTTGTTAGAATAATCTGTCCCCATATCTCTTTGGGCTAATGTCTAATTGGTCAAAATGTCAAATCATCATCACAAAGGTTGACTTCAATACCCTTTTCTTTTACTTCCATCATTACACCTTCAAATATTTAATTAATCAACTAAAAAAGTTATGCACATCCCAATTTCCAAAACATTGAACTTAGACCACAATTTCAAAATTAAAAACAATCAAATCAACTTGTGCTCTCATATTTTAAATTTAGTAAGATTTTTTTTTTACTAAAATTATTTTTTATTTATTGAACATAATTCAAATCAGTAATCAGTAAAAATTCACCCTACTATCATATCTTATTAGTGAAAAAATATAATAATAAAATAAATTATTATTAAATGCTTGTGTATAAAAAAAATATACAAACTATGCATGCATGCAAATTAAATTCATGAAACAAATCCAAAGAAAAACTACGAACCTGAATCAAAGTAGATCATGCTAGCTGAAAAAGTAATAGTTAAAAGTATTTGGTGTATAAATTTTGTCAACAATATTTTAAGGTTATTTATAAAAAGTTAATAGATTAAAACGTTTCATTAAAATTACAGTGAAATTGAGTAAATAACATTTTTATAAAAAAAATATTTTCATTCTCTAACCAGTATTAAAGAACGTTTGTTAGAATTTTCTTTAATATTTTTATTAAATATTATTAATGGTAAAAATTTTAAAATTAATAAATATTTTAGGTACAAGTTATAAAAAATAAAGTGTTTATCATATAAAAAATACAAAAAAAAAATCAATATAAAATTTTAATCAATTAAGAATATTTGGTAGTACATATTTACTATTTCTTAATTTTTATCTTTAAAGGACTCATTGGTATGGTGTTTTCTATATAAAAAAAATAGTATGCACTGAATTATTTATTTAAATATATATTATAATCAATTTAAACATAATTTGATTTACTATTGTAGTAGTTTAGTACTATGCACTCACACATCATGGGAATGATTTATTCAATGTCTATTTAATTTAGAAAGGGGGAGTGGAGAGAAGGAACGACATTTTAATGGAAGGAAAGAGAAAAGAAGAAAAGAGTTAAAAAAATTTATTTGATCGAGAGAAAGAGATGTGAGGGAAGATAACTCTTTTCTTGTTTGATTCACAAAAAGATGAAAGGAATTTTGAAAACCATTTTACTTTTATATACTTACAATTTTAAAATTAATAACATAAATAATGATATCTTAGATATTATATTAAAAATATTTCAAAATCTTTTCTCTCTCTTCTAAATTATTCCAATATTGAATGAAATTAAAATTGGGTTAGGATGAATTATGGTTCCCTCGCCTCCTCTCTTAAAACATGAACTAAATAAGAATTTTTTTTTAAAATTATTCTCTCTTCTTTTCCAACCAAACATTATGTTAACAAGAAACTCATGTTCAATTGTTTGTGTGCAAATTTATCAAACTACAAACAATATTAATAGTACAATTAGTTTTAAATCTAATGGACTGAAATATACTTATGATAGGAAAAAAAATTAAATATCATGATTTTTTTTACTTAAAAAATTTGTTTTAAAAGAATTACAATTTAGTCATTTTTCACATAATTTCTCTTCCTATTCCTCTTAAATATTCTTTCCTTAAATTTCTGGTTTTTTTAAGTATCACATTTTTTATTTATTTCATTTAAATATATTGTTATGAATGCTAGCATTTTCTTTAACATTATTTCTATTATCAGTTAAAATTTATTGAGAAATACATATTTTAGTGACTACATTTCTAATTCAAAATAGCAACTCTTTAAACAAAAAATAAGATCTATGAAATTTGTGATTTTTGATAAAATTTAATTAATAAAGAAATACTATTAGAAGGGGGAAAAACATTAGAGTGAACAATGGTAACACCCTCACAAGTTTCTCGTTTTGCTTCTAACTTTTATAGAAGTTGTTAATATAAACTATGTTAAATTTAGTTTTTTTTAATGAAAATCTTTTTTCTAAATCTCTCAATATATTTAATTAATTATTTTAACAGTTAAACCTAGCTTAGGATATGCAATAAAGGGTATAAACTTGTTACATCTACTGTATTAAGCAAATATCATATTTTTATTAAGCTTTAGAGTCTACAACATGACTTCTAGCTTTTAAAATTTTCAATTTAAAGCTCAGTAGAATTTAAAGTCTTAAGAAGCTTGTTTTGCTCAAATGTTTTCCAATCATTATTAAACCCCAATCACCAATGTCACCAAAAATAAATTTCAACAGGTATGTGAACATCATATTTTAGTCACAGAACGGTCAGAATAATAACCATAACTTTTGTGTATAAATAGATGGCAAAAGATGAAAGTTTTTACATTGTGATGAACATTCACAAAACTCACAAAGATGACACTTCTAAAACAAACACAACATTTATCCAAAAGTTTAATCATAAAAATAAAAGGAAATAGGATAAACTAAAAATTCAAAATTCAAAATTCAAAATTTTACTCTCTAATTAATTATATGAATAAATAAAAACATTTTAATAATATCATTCAACTACAAACAACCACATATTATAAATAATATAGGTTATACAAAAAAAAAGTTATTGATCTAAGTGTAAATTTTTTTACACTAAATACCTATTAAACTCATATCATCTCATTTTTTAATTTTCAGTCAATAATAAAAATGATATTAAAAAAAATTGTCACCTCAGTTTTATTTTTCTGATAAACATACGATGTAAGTGCTTCGAATAACAATGAGACATCAATGTTTTGAAGATAAACAAAACTTCAACCAAACAAAAAGTACATCTCATGACCATTTGATAGTTTGTCATGAGATTTTATGATTCTGTTCCACACTCGATCAGTCCAAGATTGAGTCCAACTTAAAAAATAGAGCAATAAGAGGATTACTGGTCCAGTCCCTCGCCTTCTTATTAATCATCTTCAGAATCATCATATTTTGCATCAATAAGCTCTGCACGAACTGATGGCATGTGCCTTAGCAGTTGTTCTTGTTTTGATGGTTTTTCAAGTTCTTCCTTTTCCTCTAGTAATGCAATTTTTGTATAGCACAAATAGTCAAGCAGTTAAGGAGACACTATCATTCATTCATTATTCTAAAGCAACACAAACTTACCAGCTCATATGCTTATTATGCATATGTGCACATAAAACTTTCTATTTTGTAACTTAGGAGTGAGGTTGACAAATAAATTCATTTATTCATAATTTATCTGATCCATTCATTATAATAAAAATAAATAATAAATCGAAATTAATTCATTCATTTTACTTTATAGATGACTAATTATCCATTCATTGTTTTTTCAAAATTTATTGGATTATAATATAAAATATTTATTAGTTGAGATTTTAAAAAATTATTTTGACATAAAATTTTTTTACTTTAAAAGACTATATATAAGAATGTGATAACTTTTAAAGAAAAGAAAGAGATAAATATTATAAAAATAAAAATTATTTAATTTTAAAACATTACTTTTATAGATGGATCATATATCATGTATCAAAAAATAAATTTTTTGTTTTAAATAAATTAGATGGATTGAAATTTTATTAAAATTTTTAATAAATCTAAATAGATTAATAAATTATTTTTAGTCAATCCATTATAATTTATCTAAAAAAAATTATTCAATCTACCTATTTGTCACCCTTATTTAGAAGCATAACATACTAGAATTCATATCATCAGTAATTTTTATATAAAATTAAATATAAAGGATATTCTCCATTTCGTCCTCTAAGACTTGCACGTTCAATTTGATTTTGCAAATGGACTAGGCGAGTCCGAATCCTCTAGCAAGAACAAAATCATAAAGTAGGATGATCAGAAATACAAGAATGACATATTCACAAGCTGGCAATTTAACAAATATTAAAACCAAAATACACATGTAACATATAGTAGAAGAAAATGAATCACACATTGCAAGAATATCAAGAATTATATTTGTGAACTCTTTGTTGCAAAAACTCATGAATCAATTAATTAAATAACTTGCCTTGTTGGCAACACATAAATAGGTAGGAATCTAAGATGATAGTAAAAAAGAGTTGAATGAGTATAAAGTAAAATTCATAGTTTGGAACAATTTTTAACAACAGAGTAGAATGGTAGGACAACTGAATGGGGCCAAAAACCCTCCATGTAGTATGAAAGCCATTTTTTCGTAATGGAATGGGGAAGAAAATTATGTAAAATTATATAACAAAATAGACTTTTTACCTTTATCTATTCTTTTTATATCAGTCCTATATAAGGGCCTATTTGACATTTAAAAAATTATAATAACTTCATCCAACTATGTTTCTGTCAACACCTATATATCAAAAATACTTCAAATTCCACTCAATCATGTACAGTAACATTCAGTTTGTATGTTTTAAATTTGCGAAGAATTGAACTACGATTATTTTATTAAAAGGTTTGGCTACTGTATTTGGTGCATTGATATCTCATATCTGAGTCTTTAATTGCTAGAATCCAGAAATGCATCTAATCTAGATATTGATCAGAAATTTTGAACCAGTAGTGGAACAAAAATAAATGCTCATTTAGCATAGAGTAAGAGATGCATACATGTTTTGTTATATCCACGTGAAGACTTCTAGCCTTTTCTTCAACCTCCACCTGCCAAACGCCAATGGAGAAAACAAATTAGTTAAATTTGTGATATATTTAGTGGAAAGCAACTCCAATTTTCTAAGTTATGTCAAGATTCATTCAGGGATTGACTATAAACTACACCAAGACAATAATAGATACAAGAATAAGTAGTAGAAATATGGTTTCCAATTACACTAATTTTCAAATTTTTAATTCCTGTTTCAGAATCATCATAGGAAAACACTAGTTTTTGTTATGTATCTAACAACTTACAACAGTTAATTTTGGGAGCAAGTTGGCTTTCACTTTTTGCTGCAAATCCTCACATTCTTGCTGTAAAGCAGAGTAACACAGTATTTTAGGATAATGAGAGAGTCAATACTTAAAAGAATGTAATAACCATATTATTTCCAAAGTAACAATGCATTGGAAATACTTGGAAAGATGTCTTTCCAACTACATGTTCATATGTGATTCCAGAAACATAATAATAGGTTCATGGCAAATAATTTACTTCTGTGAAATCTTCATCAGAGAGATCAGAAATGGGAATGGCCTTAGTCATGAAGGAAACTTGCAAGAGAGTTCCATTAGACATTTCAGAGAATACAACACCTAGAAGTTAAACAAGAAAAATGGTCAATCATTTATATACATAGACCTACTTTAAAAAATATAAAGTAACTTTGAGATCAGACTTTGAGATCTGTATGTGATTCATTACCTACAACTCTCACAAGATGGTGAGACTTCCTTTGCTTAGAATCACTGGAATCCACTTTGGCTCTGACAAAAGTTCCAACAACCTTATTCATGAAAGTTTCAGGCTGTTTTGAGAACTCTAGCACCAAACTTCGTTTTAGATAAATGAGGTTTATATTGTTGACACTCATTGATGCAAAGTGGCTACTTTTGATAAAAAAATCTCCCTTTCTCAATACAGATTTTCCAATTAAGCTTGACAATCTGCTTTTCATGCATTTTGGCCGATCATTGACATGCTTGTCTGAAGAGCTATTTTTTATTTGCTTATCATTTTTCTCTGAAGATGAATCATCCAACTTTTTGGCAAAATGACACTTTAGTAGAGAATATATCTGACTTTTTGACACAACTTTCTTTCTAAATATAGGAAACAACTTTTCATCAGGGAGGAACTTTCCCCTGTATTTAGGGTCATGAAGATTTTTCTCCTTAATGTATTCATGTATGAGAGAAGTTACACTCCATTGTGTTAATGGTTCAGTTTCATCTTTTCCGATGGATGCAAGGAAGCTAATGAGAGGTTTTGATCCCCATCCCACAAACTTCTCCAAATTATACCTCTTCCGTTTGGGTGGCTTATAACCTTCATCACTATCAGATGACATAGAGTCATTTAGTTTTTCTTCTTCATCTTCACTCGAACTTTTATGATGCATAAATTTTTTTCCCCTTTTGTAATTTGGCTGTGCAGCAGAGATATCTTCACTAGTCAGTCCTTCTTTAACTTTAGCAATTTCTGTGAGGATATCTTTACTATCCCACGACGTAGAGTCATTTTGTTTTCCTTCTTCACTTCTACTCAAATTTTTTTGATGCATAAAATTTGTAGCCTTTTGGCAATTGAGCTGTGCAGCAGAGATATCTTCACCAGTCAGTCCTTCTTTTTCCTTAACAATTTCCCAATATTCCTTGAATAGACATTCATATGTTTCTCTATCATCCAAGCTTATTTTGTTCTGCAAGGAAAAAACAAGTTTTAAAAGTAAATATACAGATCACCTCTCTTTAAACATAAACTGAACATAAAAACAACAGGGATAACAATATGAATAATATTGCAAAACATATATCAGTTAAGCGGTTCAACCAAAAAGAAATGGACTTTACAATTTTGGTTCTGTACTCATCTGTAGTACAAAGACCTGACCAGACACTTTTTTTATCTACAAGATTGAAGCTATGTTTTCACCATACATGATTCCAAATGTTAATATTCCAGATTAATTTTATGAGTAAACACTCACTTTAGCCCCTTAATTTAAAAGACTTTGTCATATTAATTTCTGAAATTAAGAAATTGTTAAATAAATTCTTAAAATATTAAATAAATCCTTAAGTTTAATTAATTCTTATCATTTTAAATTTAAACCATGAATATATATCAACATTATCATTTTAGTCATACATTTTTTTTTTTTGTCTTGGACAAATAATTGTTAATTGTCAATTTGCACTTTTAGAGACTTATTTGACAATTTTTTAGTTTTAGGAATTAACATGACAATATCTTCCAAATTCATGCACCAAATGGGTGTTTATTCTTATTATTACACTTGGAAACATAAAATGTGTTTAGCTTTCACAAAATTATCATGATAATGTCATCCAATTTCCCTTTTTTGCACCATTATCACATGAGGTTTTCTTTTCTTTTTCTTTCAAATCCATGACGTTATTTTAAAAAAAAAAATATGCCTAAATGTTCACAAATTAAAAATGAAAAATATAGTTTTTAAGAGTTTGTTTGGAATACAAGATAGAAGCGTTTTTAAAAACTTTCCTAGTAAAAATAAAGAGTATTTTTTGGTAGAGAAATTTCCAAAAGTACTTTTAAGTTAATATTCAAACAGGTTTTAAAAATTTATTAATTATGTTTAAGATATTTAGGATATAGTTGAGGTAAACATAAGAATCTTATTCATAACATTTATTTATACTTTAGAATATTATCTAGAATATTATCGGTTTGTTTTTAAGATTATGAAGATGGTATTTGAATTTTGTTACACTTTAGGTCTATTTATAAAGCCCAAGATCAACAAAAGTTTAGTGATTCTCTGCATATTCTTAAAATCATTTTTTCTTTCTACTAAAAAACCAACATGTATAACTTCACTAAACATGTTTGGTTTCATGATGGTATACTCTCCAAAACAGTTAAACAGGAAGGCATGAAATTGTTGGGTTTAAACAGAGAAAAAAAAATGTTAATATGTTATAACTTACAAGTTGATAGTGCAATTATATTAAGAGAAGCAAGGGTATATAACAAGCAAGTATATTTGTTAAAAATGATTGAAATCCACAAGTTATGAGACCTACCCCCTCCGAGTCATGGTTCAAATTTTGTTCTATAATCTTCACAATCTCCAAGCAGTCAATGCATAAACTTTGTACTCCACGAACAACAGTAAATTCAGATGAGACAGCAAAACAATTTTCGCACAGAGCATTTTGACAGCCAAGGCAATTAAACTCAGGAGGTTCATGGCAATAGTTGCAAAAATGCCTACCTGAAAATGAAAATATATAGACAGCACGTCATTATATTTTCAACCTCCCTAGAGAGAATACATACTACAAAACCATAAATTTCAATGCATGCAAAACGTTACACTTGTATTTCTATCACTGGAACTAAGATACGTTGCATAGAACATATTATCAATAGATCCAATGAACTTACCACAAACCCAAGATTTTACGGTGTCAAAATAAGAACCATCCCTCCCTACACACTTAGGGTGATAAACTTTGCCACAGTTCCTGAAATATAACCAAACATGTTGATTTGAAACCCATAAACTAGCACAAAAGTAAGTAAACATTTTGGTGAAAAAAAAAAAGAAGACTCACTCATGATCACAAAGGACTAGTTGGCCACCGTCCTTGCATTCAAAACACCATTCCTCCCCAGGTTGGTCATCTAGCCAAATTATTCTCTCAGGCTTTTCTCTTTTGTTGGCCATTGGTGTGAAACTTGAAAGTGTATGTGTATCACAATGGCTATGGCTACTAGTGATAAATTTTGCTATTTATTTATTGCGTGATGTTGATGGAAAAAATCTTTTTGGTAAAAGAAGAAAGATTAATTGAATAGGAAAATAAGAAAGTCAAAGAAACACTCATATTGAATTTGATGACAATGAGAATAGGTGCGTCAGTACGTGCACCGCGTCAAGCCCCTGTTGTGCATGTCCCTGCAATCTGTAATGCATTGGATATCAAGTATCTTTGTTAGTATAATTCTTTTTTGGTTCATGCACAAATTAAATTCTCCTGTTCACAAAATTTAATATTTAGATTTCACACTCTTTTTATTTCCTACTTTGACTTCATCTCATAAATTAAAATTCATGATGAATAAAAAAAAAATTCTTGTTCTATCTCACAGTTGGAAACAATCCTGTTCAAGATAGAGTTGATCCTATTTGAAACTGTTGATTAAGTTAAAAGAATATCTTATCAGTTGATCTACATGTTTATCATCAGTGAATAGTTTAAATTCTAATATAAAGTTATTTTTAAATTTTATTATTTTTAAAGTTTTAAAATTTTAAAATTTAAAATTTAGTTTAGAGATAAAAATAAAAAGAAATAAATTGAAAGAGATAAAAAAATGATAAATTAAAAAGAGATAGACTGTTAAAAAAGATCACATATATAAATAAAAAAATAGAAAGAAAGTTGACTAAGATTAATTTATGAATAATAATATAATACCAATAATATATAAAAAAAACCTTATTTAATAATAATAATAAATATACATCATTTGATATATGAATGAAAATTATAATATGTTTATTAAATAAGTAAATAATTGTATAATTTTTAAAATATTACGCACATACACACACAATTGTTAGATTTTAAACTACTTAAAATATAAAATTGTGATATTTAAAAAAATTAAAATTACTTAACTAAAATTTGAAAGACCAAAAAATAACACAATTGTGATATTTGAGAGACTAAAATTACTTAATAAAAATTTTAGAGATTAAAATCATACAATTGTAATATTTGAAGGATAAAAATATAATTAAACATATAATAAAGACTTAAATATGTTTTTAATCTCTTAAATTTAGAGTAAATTTATTTTTGGTTCCTCAAATTTAAAATTATTATTTTAGTCTCTAAATTTTTTTTAAAATCTTGTTTTCTTTTCTCAAGTCACCAATAACATATTTAAAAGTAACAAATTGAGATGACTATGCAACATCAACCAAATTTGATATGATATTTTCACTGACAAAAAAACACTAGTAATAGATTTTATGCGATAATATTTGATAATTTTTTTAATAAAATTTGGATATAAAAAATAAAACAAGATTAAGGAACCCTAAATCCTAAAAAGATCAATTTTAAAATTAAAAAATTAAAAATAAATTTATCATAAATTTAAGAGTTCAAAAATATATTTAAATCTATAATAAATTATAAGTTAATCATAATTTTAATTATTAAATTTAAGTATATTTTATACTCTGAAACATATTATCATTACTCTTCTTCTTTTTTATCCATATGTCATCACTCCTAAAGAAATAAAGAATTGAGGATTTCTTTGGCAATTCACGTGAATTAAAAAAAAATCGAGGATTTCTTTTAGGGACAAAAATCATGTGAGTTCAAGAAAGTAAAACGGTAAAAAAAAAAAAAAAAGGAATAAAAATAGGGCAAATTTGTGAAGAGTTAATGAGACATTTTTTAAATACGTAAATTTTTTCTTTAATTCTCACCTAGTTTTTTAAAAAAAAAAAAAAAAAACTTTTTATCATTTGAAAAGTCTCTTAAATATAATAGCTTGAATTATTTAAATAAAACAAAAATAATGAATAGATCATTTTTTGAATTTTGATTTAGAAAGACAAATTTATACCTTCACCAAATACTAACGTTTTTTATGACATATTATTATCATATACTTATTAAAACACAAATTATTTTTTGTTAAGAATGTTAAGATACATAAAATGAGTATTATGAAAACTAAATTTTAATTTAAACAACTTGATTAAAAAATATAATTTTACTACTTGAAACACAAATTTTAAGGGGAACATAAGATTAAAAATATAATTACATTATTTTTCACATCTCACATTTTTTTTATGAGATTAATGTTCATGTACTAATATTGTGAAATAACTTTATATTATCAACTAATTAGATATTACTATTTGTATATTTTTACTTATTTATGATAAAAATTAATAACCTAACATAACTTGTAATTGTATATAAATATAAAACTAATTTATATTGTCAATGTATCTTTTCATCACCTGATTTATCTTTTTTTTTCTTTATTCCTATTTTAGTCAACATATTATACCGACATTATATGAGAAGGAAAACAAGTTATCAGAGAAAATAAATATTATAATATTATTTCAATATGATAAAAAAAAAAAACTTAAAAGATGAAATGCAATTTTAGTGAAGAATAGCCCATGGACCAAAAACAGTTTATAAAAGAAATGTCTGCTGTGAAACAAAAATGACGCACCCAAAGTTGTCGGATGGCAGTTGGAAGGCAAAAGAGACAACATACGGGCCTATAACCATGGACCATAAAACCTTAATCAAATTTATGTGCTTAATGAAGAGTTATTCAAAATATATTCATTTTTTTTTTACTCCTCAAAATGACCATAGACCATAAAACTTTAATCAAGTTTATGTGCTTAATGAAGAGTTATTCAAAATATATTCTTAAATTTTTATTTATTTATTTTTTTACTCCCCAAAATGATGCGGATAATTAGCATTTACCGTTAGCAAAAGAATAACTTGAAAGTTGTAGTTTCCCCTCATCGCCTAATATTCATGCTTTTAAGTTATAGATTTTACATATGAAAGTACTAAATTTTACATCATAAGCAAGAAAAATAAATAAATTGATGAATAAAAAAAATAAAATACTTTTACTTTTAGAAAATCATTCTTTGTTTTGCACATTTATTTTTGGGAACGAATTAAAACATATTTTTTTTATATATAAATAATGTAACGTTGAAGCCAAATCATGATATTTGGACCCCCAACATTTTATACTGTATTCATTAATTATTTGTATCTCTTTTTTCTTATTATATCATAAATGTATTATACTTATATTTCTATTTTTATTATTATTCTATTTCATAGATGTCCCATAAGTTATTGGTGTCCAACAGTTTTTTTTTTGTATAAACAAATAAAAACATATATATAAGTTTTTTTTTTATGGCATTACCTATTTTATTTATTTAGTATTGCTATTATTTTATGAAGGAGTGATTTGTAACCAACTTTCATAATTATAAAAATATATACAGTATGATTAGTACTAGTAAAAACACTATTTAATACAATATTTCTTCTAACACATTTTTTATTGGTTAAAAGTTATTTAAAAAATGTACAAGCATTTATTAAATAAGAGTGCAATTAACACAATTTTATAAATTTTAATGAATTTTAATCAATAAAAAATTATATTATTAATATTTTTCTATACAGAAAACAAAAAATGAAAGAAAAAATAAATAAATTAAGAGTTAAGAAGTATTGGCCGAGTCCGGGTGGCTCAATAGGTTCAACTTAAATGATAAAAAATAAAAAAAATAAAAAAAGTAACTTGACAGAAAAATAAAATTATAAAAAAATAATAAGAATATATTTTTGTTCAGTCAAAAAAAATTCTAAACTAAATAATCCTTTAACCAAAAACTAAAGGCTAATCTTTTGAGATAAAAGAAATATGTTTAAATGTTTAAGTATTAACCTCTTCCAATAAATAAATGTTTTTCTATAATCAACAATGATCAAACTTTTGACAATGTTTTTAAGTGATAAAATTACTTATTAATCATTAAAAAAACATCTTTATCAATAATAAAAAAAGAACTTAGCTGTATTGTAAAATAATAATAATTATTAAAAAATATATATAAAAAAAATGAGCGTTTGTGAAAACGTTATTGAGAGCAAAAAGGAGTCGGAAATAGACCTTGAACTCTTGAAGGTAACAGAAAAAAAAGAAAGAAAAAAAAAAGAGCAGAGTGAGCTTTTCTTTTATAGCATTTTATTTTATGTTTCTTAGCAAGTCCGATGTTGTTCTTTTATGATGCTGCATGTTCAATATTGTTAATGTTTCTTATGCTGGCATGGTTTCTATTACAAGAGAATGTCATACCAAATCATTGCATGAAAGAATCTTTCGGTTCTGCCGAAAGTAAAGATAAAATAAATTGAAATGTAATATTGGATCGAGAGAAGGTAAGAATAACATACCTCTACTGTTTGTTCCTCCGTAGAAGCATTGCATGTGTTTCCTTTGGACCGTTGCTTTCTCTTTTGAAAACGGAGAGAGCATTTATCTGCCGCCGGAGGTTACGCCATTTATCTGCTGCGTAAACTAATGCTTCTGCTCCTTTTTATTACTAGACCTGTCAGAAACTTTCTTTCTAGTTTAACTTCCCCAAATTAATCTATTATTTTATTTTTATTTTATTTAAATTTTTAAATGATATCAATGGGCTCGGTGACTTTTCAACATATACTTCCTGGGCCTGACTAACTCCTCTACCTATCGGTTTGGACCAAATTATTCATTTTATTTTCAAATTTTAAATTTATGAACTAAACTCCACATGACCTAGGGGGCTATCAAGCTGGGCCAATTTTACCAATTCTATTTTTTCATCATCTTATTTGTCATTTTTTTTAGAGTTTAATGGTTAATGTGTAAATATTCATATTGTCCAACAATTAAACATCATAGTCCATATGATTTTAAAGTACTTTTATTAAAATTAATAGTTTATCATAAATAATAATTTATAATTTAAATGATAATATAAAGTACATAGATTGTTTTTCTTTTTATTTATTTATTTGATTTGATTCTTTTATTGGTAAATTTTCTTATTTTGTTTCCTTTATTATTTAAAGAATTAAAAGAGAACAGAAAAAGAAAAAGAAATAATGTAATAAGATAAGTTATTATTTTTATTATTATTATTATTATTATTTTATTAATATTATCTTTTCATAGTAATATATCTTCCAAGTTCCAACCAAACCAATAAAAAATAAGAGTGATAATTTTATTTTTATCGCTTTATCATAAAATTGGTTGAAAAATTATTTATATTATTCACATGAGTGCACTGTTTATCTGTAAGTAATTTATCCTTATGTTATGGTGTTCATGAATTTAAGTAATTTGTGAATCTAGAAAAATGCGTTAGATTGGATTTTTCGAATATTTGAATCAAATTCAATTTGTTCAAATCTATTCAAATATGTTCATATATAGGTTTGATATAGTTGGTTTTGATTTTTAAATTTAATTCAAGTCATGATATGGTTGGTTGAATTTGAATTTAACAAAAATTACATGAATTAAACTGAATCATTAAATTTTTTTTATCAAATTAAGTAACGAATTTAGTCAAACTCAAACTAATCCATAAACATCAATTGCCTCAAATATACTATCTTCCCTTCCACCAATTAATTTATCTGTTATCTGCCAAGTTCATATAAAAACAAAATAGTAATGTTTTAAAAAATAATTCAATATTTTTTGACAAAATAAAAAAATATTTTAATTGAAATAAAAAGTGTCAATTTTGAATCAAATGTTTATAATTTTCATAATAATCTAAATGTTTGTATATTGTATCACTAATGCAAAATTAGTCTGTACCAAGTCAAATTATTAAATAGATTGTTCTGCAACCGATTTAATAACCAACACAATGACATTTTTACAAGTGATGTCAACTTTACAAAATTGATTTACAGATACAACATTGATTATATACATAATTGATGTTTTTTCTCCTTGACCACAACATCTGTGAGAAAGCAACAAGCTCCCAGAAGCAATGAAAACGGTGTTTTAGCAGTCCCAATACATTCACTCTTACATACCTTGTAATTATTCTTCCTCTTACTCAGTATTTACTTTTCTTCACACAGTAGTTTCTATCTTTTTAAATCAGTTTAGAGTTTTGTTAATAATGTGGATGGATTAGATATGCCAAGCAGCGTGTTTTCCTATTCAAACCATCTTTTTCGCCAATCTAAATCACGTCGAGAGGTATATGGATGCTTGCCTGCGAGAAACAAGGTTACTAATTCGGTGAAGGCTCTTAAAAAAAATTTAATTGATTCTTAAATTTTTATTGTTAAAAAACGAGAATAACTTTTGGTCTTGAAATTATTCTATTTTTATTCTTTTATTTATAATAAAATAAAATATAAAATGAATATACATTTACAACAATCCTTCAAATAAAATGCTTGGGTAGAATTTATTTTGAATATATATCTGTCAGTTTATTTAAAATTTGAAAATATTATAAAAAAATAGGTATTTTTTAAGATTTTTTTAATTAAAAAAGTCATTATCGTTTGTGAACCGACTTCAATCGACAATCACACCTGTTCTTACCGGAATTTGGCCGTAGGGATGGTCTGTCCAGTAAGATCAGTGAGCCTCCTTTGCTTGATGTGTTGGTGCTCCAAGGTGGGGGAGGTACCTGCAAAAGAGACTCCGATGCCAAAGTTAGGGTTTGTATGAGTATGAGTCTCGTATATATAATGCACATACCTTTGTGTGAATTAGGGTTGTCTTGGGCCTGAGATAAGATATGATATGATATGATATCATATAATATGATACGATCACGTTGTGACATAATATGGTATAATTGGAGAACGGTTTTGGCCTGGGACGAGATCTCCGGGCTCGGGCGTGATCTGTCCGGATTCCAGGTTGACGTTGTTCAACGCGTGCCCGGGATGACCCTTATAATGTCAACCCGGGTTGAGAGCCCGGGTGCGAAATGCGGTCAGTACACTAGCCCTCCGAGCTCCGAAGGCCGTAGGCCGAGGAGTTAAGGTCGGGCTCAAGAGAGGAGAGGTGGTTTTGCGCGTACGCTAGCTGGAGGCTCGCCACGTGTCGTGACTATTCATGCTCTGGAGACGTTTGATTGACGTATTGGGAGCAGTGACGGTTTTTTAATGATGGTTTGGTAATAAGTGTGTCGTCGGGTGTGCCTTTCAACTGACACGTGTCGCGTCGGTTTTGAATTTCGGGGAGAGTTTTAGCCTTTCTCTCTTCTCGCGTCTCTTCCCTGTCTTTCTTCTGACTTCTCAAGTACGAGAGCTTTTCTTGGTTCCCTTTACCTCCTTTCTCTTTTGCGCTTCCGTCGCCGTCGTCGTTTCCGGTAGTCCCTTCTTTGGTAGGGTTGTTTTCTGAGGAGGAGTACCAGGTACTTCCTTTTTATTTGCTTCTTCTCTTTTTTCATGGCCGGTGGAAGTGGTGCCGGATCCTCTGCGTCTGCCAGGGGCAAGGCGCGTGGCAAGGTGGTGGCCGCCGGAAGGGTCACTGTTGAGAAGAAAGATTCGCCGCCACCTAGGGGCCCAGAGCCGGGCGTTCCTGGTTACGACTGGGTCAAACGCGAGGTGGCCGAGGCTCAGAGCATTTTTCGCTCTTTCCTCGAAGTGAATGCGTTTCGGAGAGCGCATAGGGTTTGCGATTCCTCCATTTCCCACATGATTCGGCTTGAGCCCT